TACTACTACTACTACTGTTGATGGACGAAATCCTGCATCATTTTTATCACGCAGCTCATCCCTTCCAAGCCCTGAATCTTAACATTGCCGTCCTTGCAATGCTTCGAAAGTGCATGTGTGTGAATGACCGAAATCCTGCATCACCCATATGCGCACGCAACATTGAAATTCGACGGGTGCGGGGAGCTCGATGACCAACCGTCGCACACGTGTAACGCAGGGGGTCATGCAAGATTTTGTCCATCCACAGTCTCGGACAAGATAATTGACTGACTTGTTGGCAAGAGTTGTTGCTTGGAATGGCTTTTGGGAAGATTGTCGGAGAATGGCCTTTGGGAAGAATGTCGGAGATGTACTTTTTGCAGCTTCAAGCCTAAGCTCTCCTCTTTCTCGGGTGTGGCCAAGCACCAAAGAGCAGAAATGTCGCGTTTTTCAAGTTTCAAATTCGTTTCTGTAGTTTCAAATTAGTTTCAAAATAGTTTCAAAATCCAGTTGCAAAATCGCTGTTAAGTGGAAACTGCATTTTCCTACGTGCGATTCAAAAAATGAAGGAATCTCAGAGATTCCTGGTTTTCAAAAAGCGCGGACAGAAATTGCAGTTCCCCCTTAACAGCGATTTTGCAACTGGATTTTGAAACTAATTTGAAACTGACTGGCAACTAATTTGAAACTATGGAAACAATTTGAAACTTGAAAAATACCACATTCCGGACTTTCTGCCCCATCCTGGCCCCTCACATACGGCCCTCAGTTGACTTTGGTCAGCCGTGACTAGAGACCAGAGTTTCCGAAAACTTGCAAGTCTCCAGACTGTTGATGGACGAAATCCTGCATCATTTTTATCACGCAGCTCATCCCTTCCAAGCCCTGAATCTTAACATTGCCGTCCTTGCAATGCTTCGAAAGTGCATGTGTGTGAATGACCGAAATCCTGCATCACCCATATGCGCACGCAACATTGAAATTCGACGGGTGCGGGGAGCTCGATGACCAACCGTCGCACACGTGTAACGCAGGGGGTCATGCAAGATTTTGTCCATCCACAGTACTACTACTTCTCCTACTACTACTACTACTACTACTACTACTACTACTACTACTACTACTACTACTACTACTACTACTACTACTACTACTACTACTACTACTATGTTTTGGTCTGGAGGCGCACGGAGCGCTGCCTTTGGCTGTTGGGTGAAACTTCAAGTAGGCTACCCTACCTATGTGACAGCCTGTATTACCCAGCTGGCCTGGTCACCACCAGGCCTCACACCAGTACACCGTGAGCATTTGTGTCTGGTTTACTTTGCCCTACCGGCTCTACCCTAACTGCTGCTACATCTGGTCCCCAGGTCACCAGCTCTGAGCTCGCTGGTCTACTACTACCACTACTACTATTACTACTACTACTACTACTACTACTACTACTACTACTACTACTACTACTACTACTACTACTACTACTACTACTACTACTACTACTACTACTACTCTACTACTACTACTACTACTACTACTACTACTACTACTACTACTACTACTACTACTACTATACTACTACTACTACTACTACTACTACTACTACTACTACTACTACTACTACTACTACTACTACTACTACTACTACTACTACTACTACTACTACTACTCTACTACTGCTACTACTACTGCTACTATTACTCCTACTGCTACTGCTACTGCTACTGCTGCTACTACTACTACTACTGCTGCTGCTGCTGCTACTACTACTACTACTACTACTACTACTACTACTACGACTACTCCTGGTTCCACTTCTACTTCTGCTTCTACTTCTAATGCTCCTACTCCTACTACTACTTCTACGATTACAGCGACGATTACGACTACGGCTGATGGCGACTACGACTACGATGGCTACGACGAACACGACGACTGTAAGACGGATGCGACGACTATGGCGTTGACTGCGACTGCAATTGTGACTACAACTACAGGGGCAGCGATGCCGACGACCACGACCAGGACGACGACTACGACGACGCTGACTGCTACTACTACTACTACTACTACTACTACTACTACTACTACTACTACTACTACTACTACTACTACTACTACTACTACTGATACTACTACTACTGATACTACTACTACTACTACTACTACGACGACGACCACTACTACGACTACGACTACCGCTACTACGAGGACGCGCGTTTGTAGGAGGCCGGGTACTTTTAATACATGCGCTTGTTGTCATAGTCCCAAAGTGAGCACCCTCTCGGTGTTTCGCGCGTTTGCCACCTAAAAGACAGATCATCGACGTAGGGCCAAACTACTTTGAGGGTCATGGATTTGTGGTGTGTTTAGGATTCAGGACTCGGGGTTTTCTTTGTGCAGAATGTTGTACAAACAAGCGGCAATGCTGTAAATACGAGTGTTCGGGGCAAAAAACGCTGTGAATTCTAGTGCTTTGGGCATGGTCGCGAAAAGGATGGACGCTAGTGACTGATTTTCCTGTTCCGCATCCTTGTGCAGTATGTTGTACAAAGAGGCGAAAATGCTGTAAATACCAGTGTTTTGGGCATGTGATACTCCCCTCTCCCCCCCCCCCCCCCTCGTTCTCTCCCCCTCCTCTCCCCCCCCCCATCCTCCCCCCTCCCCTGCCCCCCCCCACCCTCCCCCCCCCCCCGACCCCGCCCCCCCCCCCCCCGTCCCCCCCCCGCCCGGCCAGCCTCCCTCCCCACCCCCCCCCCCCCCCCCACCCACCATCCAAAAGCGAGGCGAAACACGAAATCTAGCAAAAACAATCAGGGCCTCAACGCGCGGGTACGACTACTACTCCTGCTACTACTCCTGCTACTACTCTACTACGACTACGACGACGACTACTACTACTACTACTACTACTACTACTACTACTACTACTACTACTACCACTACTACTACTACTACTCCTGCTACTACTTTGCTTCGACTACGACGACGACTACTACTACTACTACTACTACTACTACTCCTACGACTACTCACGACCTACACTACTACTACTACTACTCCTACTACTACTACTACTACTACTACTACTACTACTACTACTACTACTACTACTACTACTACTACTACTACTACTGACTACTACTACTACTACTACTACTACTACTACTACTACTACTACTACTACTACTACTACTACTACTACTACTACTACTACTACTACACTACGACTACTACTACTACTACTACTACTACTACTACTACTACTACTACTACTACTACTACTACTACTACTACTACTACTACTACTACTACTACTACTACTACTACTACTACTACTACTACTACTACGACAACTACTACTACTACTACTACTACTACTACTACTACTACTACTACTACTACTACTACTACTACTACTACTACTACTACTACTACTACTACTACTACTACTACTATTTCATTCATTCCAATCGCAGCCGGTCACTCAGCTTGGCGTCAGGTACATGGCAGTGCATTGCACCGGTGCTTCTTGAGCACTAGAACCATAATGGGCAAGTCCCGCTACGAATAGCTGCAAACTTGCGTCCTACTCAACCTGTCAAGAGAAGGGTGCACAGTGGCACAGAGTGCACAGTGGCACAAACAAAAACTGCTTCAGCATGTAATGCCGGCGGCAGTGAACAAACAATATCGGCACAGTGTCGCGGCCAGTGGTGTGATCCTCGTCACGTGGTATGTACAGGACATGGAAGTGCGTTACACAGGACGGCTTGTGGTTTATGTACAAGTGGCCCAGCCGGGCTCACTGTCGGTCCAGAGTGGCCAACTATGGCTCACTAGCCTCTCACTCACTGTCAAGGTCAGGGTCTGTTGTAGGTGGTGTAGGTGGTGCAGGTGATGCAGGTGGAGTGGGTAATGCAAACTCCAGTCTCCGAAGCGTATCCACGTGTGCAGGGTTCAGCTCATCCACTGCCCTGACTGTGAAGATTGCAATCGTGATGCGATCTCCTGTCCAGGGGCGAGTCTCATGCGATCAAAGGTGACTCCTGGCAGTGTGAGATTTAGCACGTTGCCCTGCATGGTACCATCCATACACGCATGGCTGCCGTCTGGATCGTAGACCCATACTCCTCCTCCTATGAAGGCCGAGCAGGGTAGCACTGCATTGACACTTTGTGCGGCGTTGTTCATATCCCTATGTGCATGCATGAACGTGTTTCGCTGAAGCACAAAGCTAGTGAAGGGCACCCGGGTGCAGGAGCGGATGTACCTACACACCATTAGCGTAACCCCATGGGAACTTCGAAGTGTTGCGCCGAAGCCCATGTAGTGGGCCCTGTGAGTAGGCTCCACTCATAAAGCACATACTGCCAGGTAGGTCGGCATGCGCCTCACTGCGCAGGTCGCCCCTAGGCAGACTGTCACAGAGTAGCTTCCATGCACTCATGCGCACCTGTCCACAGGCAATCATATCGGCCGCAATTTGCTCAGCTATGTGCCGTGGGTATGGCATGTCATCTGGGATTTTTCATCAATCTCCAACGAATACGGGATCCTTACCTCGCGTTCATGTTGTGTTGGTGTGAAGCCGCTGGCCTCACCCATTGCATAGCCCGAGGTGTGTGCAGGCAACATTTGCTGGATGTGATGCCTAGCTCGAGCCCTATTGCACAGGTAGAGTACGCGCTGGGTATGTGGAGATTTATGGGGCACTTAGGTGGGGAAGGTGTGATCTGGCATTTATTAACAGTCTCTGTCGCTTTTGTGCCTCAGGGCGACGGCTCATCTCCTCGTGAATTGGCAATGAATTAACGCATGTTCAGTATAGTGGCCCAACAGGCTCACTGCACAGCGTGTTGCTCAGGTACCTGCAACAGGGTGCATGCACACGTGAGCGTGGGTGTTTGTCGGGTAGCCGCAGGCACGTGACAGCGGTGCAATCCTTTTTTCTGATTTTTTGGGTTTTTTGTAAGCACAGGCTGCCTATGTGTCCCCCACAGGCGGCTACCCCACTGCGCTCAAGTCATCAAAGCGTAGTCCTGCAGAGCAGGACCAGGTAGCACTGTTGGCTGAGTACTGAGTCATGCGTTACAGCTATATTGACATGCTCTATGGGCTTACTGTCATCTGCATGCCATTGCGGGGGTGCTTGAGGTGCGACCCTTGGGGGGAGATGATTGAGAAAGCGGGTAGTATAATGTCCCCCGTGTATAGTAGACCCTCGATGCAGCACGCACGCCGTGACTAAGTATGTGACATACGTACAAGCAGCCCCCTGATGTGGGTCACAGTAGCACGGGATCTGGATTGCAGTGGGAATGGTGACCCTGGTGTGCAGTTTGACCGTCTCGCCAGCGTCCGTGTCCAAGAATCGCGAGATGCGCAGAAGCAGGATGCGTGGAGGATGCGTGCAAGCCTGTACGTACGTGCCGCCGGTGTGCCAATGGTCAACAAGTGCTTGGAGGTTAGTGGTGGCATAAGGGTCCGCCAGGTCAAGGGTAATGGACCGCTGTGTGTTGTGCTGTCCTCTGGTCTCGGTGCCCTCAACCTCACTAACAATGCGCGATTCCCACTTGCCTTGAAGAACTTGGGGTCGTCCAGCTCCTAGGAGGTGTTCTAGGAATTCACAAGCGTCATGTTGCTGGTGGAGGTTAGCCCAATTGCACAGCAAGGGCCGCCAGGAGCTCAGTGCGTGAACGTGAATGGGCCTACGCGCATGATACACATCCCTCCAGGCCTGTTCCTGGGCACCATACTTGAGGATGTCCGCAACCTGGAGGTGGCTGACCGCAAACAGCCAGGCACGTACGCTTGCATTAAGATAGCATGTATTGCTGCTGTTAAGGAGCCGTATTAGTAGTATTCGGCCAGCGCCTGTTGGACAAGCGCGGCAGCCGGTGACTGCTTGAGCGTGTCCCTCCTTAGTTGGAGGCCGATGACCTGCATGGCCGACAGGCCGGTCAATGCCTCCAGTGTCTCCCATACTGTTGGGTGGCCCTTCGTGCGATTGGAGATGTCCAGCTGGAAAGCCGTGACCCCTGTCATGGTGTCTGCTAGGGGGCGTGTGGCGTGGAATCTGTGTATCATGTAGGGCTGCATGATGATGGGTAGAAGGAGTTGTAGTGCTTCCACTAGCTTCGCGTGTGGAAGCGGGGGCCTCCCCTCGTCGACCACCAGGCTCCCCAACGCCGGCGACCACTTCTGGTAGCACCAATGGCCTTCCTGTAGCCATTTGTTGTCCTCTGCCTTCTTCTGGAAGGGTGTCTGCGTCACTCCTCCGATGTCTTTCAGGCTTGCGTGCAGCATCGTGATCAGACAACCGAACAGAGTGGTGCGGAGTGTACTGGTCGTTGTTCCCTCCTCCTGAGACTTCTTCCATTTTTGTGCCGCTGCAAAGAGGAGGGGGAGCGGCCCCTGACTGCCCGGTTGAATGAAGAGCACCCAGCTGTAGTCCTGGCGTAGGATCTTGAGCGCCGTCTCCTGTTGCAGTGCTAGTCTGGCCAGTGCTTTGATCAAGTAGGTCAGGTTGGGG